AAGGCAGCAAGGCCTTGTCAGCTCCAACTTCCACATAATTGTAGCATTATAGAATTGTTAAGGTTGGAAGATACCTTCAAGGTCATCCAGTCCCACTGTCCACCCAGCACTACCACTGTAACTCCTGAACAATTAAACCACATCCCCCCAGATCCAGATACTCCTTGAACACCTCCAGGGACAGTGACTCCGTCACCTTCCTGGGCAACCTGTTTCAGTGCCTGACCACCCTAGCAGGGAACAAATATTTCAGATATCTAGTCTGAATCCCCACCTCCATACACCCTCCTTGCCGGGAGTTTTAGAGAGTGATGAGGTCCCCCCGAACCTCCTCTTCTTGGTACTAAACAAGCCCATCTCCCTTAGCTGTTCCTCATAAGATGTTTTACAGACCCTTCACAAGCCTTGTTGCCCTTCTTTGGTGTGTTGCTTTCTACACACTGCACAAAATCCTCTTTTCTAAAGATCTCTTTTTCTTTTCTCTATTTTTTTATATCTCATGTTCATTACATGCTTCAGATAAGGCTTACATTCCTCGGGCAGAGTTGGAAAATCTTAAGTGACCTTGACTCCTCCATACTCCAACAGGTACAAAACTGTGTCTTTTATGCTAAAAAGCTCCTGTTCAGACAGAAATGTTTCTCAAATATAATGAAACCGCCTATGCAAGGCAAACATGTTTCAGGCATATCTGTTGGTCCTTTCTGTTCCTTATCCCTTTGCTTTGCCAGTTGTCAGCCTTTCTGCTCCTTTTCTAGTCTGTCTTTCTTTCCCCTGGGGAGTTTGTGTGGTGGGAGAGGGTGCCAGAAGTTTGCTTTCACTTTGGGCCTCAGCCATCAGCTTTACCCAAACCTAATGTATATTTAATGTGATACAGCCAATAACCCTTTCTGTCAACCTCTGATCATGTGCCAGCTGAAGAATGCTGCAAAGTAATGTCTTCTGACTAAATCTTGAAGCCCACATATAAACTCCTGATTAGTGGTGGCTGAGATTACTGGAGATGTGTGTGTGTACCCCTCTGTTTCTGTGCCAACTGGAATTTCTCCACATTGTAGGATATCTATGGAAGCAGGCTCCAGCTGCTGCAGGGCTTTTCCTGGTAGCTTCCTTTCCTGACTCAAGAAGTCGTGTAACACTTTTGTGCATGGTTAATTGGTGGTCATGATTCACTGGGGGAGTTATGGCATTTCAGTGATGGGTGTAAGGAGACCTTCAGGCATGAAGTTGTACATGGAAGAATTTAATGATGTAGGTTTCTTTGGGAACACACTATCTTTTCTATGGAACTTGATTTGTTTTCTTCTTTCTTCATGGCTCAGTAGAGACAAAGAAGACTGAGGGTAAAGAGGTTTCCTTTTTTGGAAGGTCTTTGTCTTTTTTCTTTCTTTTTTTTCCTCTACTCACCCTTCCTTCACCTCACCCCCCCCCCCCCCCGACCCCAGCCTTTCTTGAAATTCTTAAGAAAGGTTTTTATTCACCAGGTACTACAAAGATCAAAATGTTAAGGGAACCGGAGGGAAGTGATTGAGAAGGTCTTTCTGAGGACGACAGCTCTGCCTTGTAATACAATACTATTTCTCATGGGAGTGGGTGGGAGGCCAGCCTAAATTTCCCCTTTCTGTCCTGCCAAATTCCCCAAATTGCATAACTGCGTATTCTCCTAACACAGTGGTACCCTTGGCATCACTAGCAAATCTGCAGGGAAGCAGTGAAGCAGCTGGAGGCTTGAAGGTGGACCAAAATTGGTAGAGGACAGACTTGGTTAGCCAAAAAACAAAACAACCCCAAACCCACAAACTGAATTTACTAACTCTCCCATGTATAACTGAACAGCACAATACAGATTTAATAACATACACTATTTGGTTCTAAATGCACTCCATCTAGGAAAAATAAGTTTATCGGGATAAGCAAAGGGCCCATGGGGAGTTCATCAGTTCAGTTTCAAGTCACAAGATGTGTTTTACTTGGCTATGGAACCTTTTTGTGCAAGAATAATATGATACTGCTGAAACACAAACTGACAAAAAGACATATTTTTACTGGTTGGTGCTTTTTCCTCTGTGCCATTATTTTCATCGGGAGGCCCCATCGCTGCCTTTCCCATCACTGCTGCCTTAGACTGACAGGAGGATGAGGTACTTGTTGGCTTCTGTGAGGAAATGAAAGAATGACTATTGGAAGAGCAGAATGACCAGAGTAACTCATAAGGATGTAACCCTGAAGGCTTTTGTTTTGTCACTACACTGAATCAAAAGAAAACAATTTGGACCTTCTCGGAGGGGAGTGTCAAACATGGCTAGCCTGGGGTAGGTTCTGCCTGAGCAAGGAGGGAAAGATTTACATCCTTTGGAAAAATATTTACGCATCTTAAAAGTTCAGGTAGCCAAATTCATTTTTTCTGCAGCTTCACCAAGTTTCACTGCAGCCTACCCTAGCCCTGTATGCAAGCTGACTATCACTAAGGCAAGGAAAAAGCAAGTATGCCCACAGTGGTTTTGATAATCTTGTTCTTCTTGCCAGTGTGCAGGAGCTTAAACAGGCTCAGTGCTGTCGCTGGGATTGCTTGAGAGGCTGGGTACTACTCAGCATGTGTAAGGGTGGGAGAATCTGGCTCCAAAATGGTTTCTTTTTCTCTCCTTGCTACAGGACCTGGAAAAGACAAGGGTGTGTGGGCGGGCCTGGAGTCCCTCCAAAGAAAGTGTGAGGCCTTGGGCAAAACAAATCCATCAGGTCTCTCATTTCTTCCAAATATAGGTCTGTTCTGAGTAATAGCCAAACTCAAGTCTAAATTCCACATTCAGCCGTTTCAGAGGGAATACATGAAAAAGACCCTATGGCCCAGAGAGTCCGTCTATAGAAAATATTTTGATAGCTCTTCCGCTCTGGCATTATCTTCCACTTAAAAAGAAAGAAAAGGAAAACACACAGAATTGGAGCGCATGATTTAATTTTCACTGTAAAAGGACTGATTGATGAAAATAATACTTCTGAAAACAATCTGTTGTGAGCTATCAAATATTTTTGCCTATGCACCAATTGGCAGGAAGCAGACAGATAAATTATTACAATATGTAAGAAAACAAATTGCTCTGAGGAGGAATGGTATTTGTGTGTGTGTGTTTATGAGCAGGATAAGTAGAATGAAACCCATAAAAGCATGCTGAGAGATCATCTTCCATCACAGCAGAAATATACTGGAAGCAAAGGAACTCACTTTAGCTCTGTCCCTGGCTGAATTTCTAGCAAAACAGGGTTTATGATATGCAAGTGTTCTCCTGGAGTAGATTTTTTAAACAAATTAAAATAAAAAAGGAGATTGGGATGTTCCTGCTGTTAAGAGGAAGGGGGTCTCATAGACATTTTTGCCAAGATACTTAAAAATTTTTCAGGCATCACCACATTTTAATAAAATGAAACAGTTACAGCAGATCCTGAATATTGCTGCTCATGGGAAAATTTTCGGAAGTGCTGTAGACATGGAGCTTTAAGAAAAACCATTCTATTAACTTTCAATAAGACAATTTCCATAGAGCCTGACAAGTGGAAAAATTGCAGTGAGATAAGGTCTGTATGAAATAACAGTCTGTGGATTGCTCTGTGGTGACTGTGTATGTGTTCCTATTCCACAGCAAGCAGCTCAGGCAGAGATGGTAGCTCATTTTCTGATATCTCCTTTTTCTTCAAGAGCCAAACCACCTCACATTTTCCTCAGAACTCAGACCCTGTACACTGGGTACTGGGCAGCTGGTGGGTAGCAGTGGACAAGGCAGCCACCTGCTAAATACAATTTTTGAATAAATAAGTAGAGCTTCTGAGTGGCACAGGATAAATCTACCTTTGCATTTGTAGATAACTATCACCCAGCTTGAGCCATGAGATCCACATTTTCCCTTCTTATGCCATGCCTGTAACCTGCATTGACCCCATCTGCTTGCACTGCTGCTAAGAGGAGAGCGAAGCCTTCTGGTCCGGAGCATCTTTTTTTCCTGAACTACCCTCTATCTGTGCATTGTAGAGAAAGGAAGGGGACACAAAAAGCATGAAAGTCTGGAATAGGCAATAAAAAGGGCAATGTGAGCTGTGGAACATAAATAAATTTCAGGCACATCTCAGGAGTGAAGAGGGAGATAAGTTGCAGAACATACCAGATATTTTTTCTATAGCAAGGCTGTATGACTACTAGTGGTTGATCTTAGGTTTTCCACCAGGTGTTCCATAGATTTGACCTTTTGATCATTACTACAATCATCATGACATCAACAAGAGGCAAAGATTTGTAATGGTATCCAGGGGAATCTGAATTCTATGAAAACAAGCAATCAATGGAAGCCTATTTGCTAAAGGGCTTTTTATAAATCTTTCCTTACACAAGAATTTCCTTCCTAGAAGTTAGATTTCCCATTCAAGTTAAGCATCCTTGTATGTGACAGAGCCAGAGTACCTTGGACCTTTTGTTTTCTGTTTTTTTCTTTCAGTGAATGTGCAAATACTCAGTGATTTTAAATGTGACAAGAAATTGTTTTGCTGTATTTCAAGGCTACTGAATGATTATTTAAAAATAAATAGTGAGCAGAAGTGCTCTTCTAACAAACTCTTCAATTTGTATATTTTTAGGGGACCATTCATAGTTTGTGGGCAGTATCTGATGCTAATTGCTAGTAGCAAGGAGTTAGCTGCAAGGACTGCTAACTCTGGGCAGCTAGCCAGACTAAGAGGTTGTGATTGTGTCATTAAGGCAGCAAATAAAACACTGTGTGGGTGAAAAGTTACTATGATGTCTTGTGACAGATAACTTGAAAAGGTAGCAAGGGAAGGAAAAAAACCTGTAAGAGATCCATAACACATAAGTATGCTCATATCACATCCAAAAATTGGAGGCTGGTTTGTGATTGAAACATTCTGAGCAGGAGCACATTATTTTGTCTAAGTCAGCAACCTAAATTACAGTGAAAACTTTACCTGGACTGAGATGGTTTGTGCATTTAAGATTCCTGCCTGCAAGTACAACTTCATCACAAAGCCTTCGAGTGCTAGCGACCTACAAGTATCTCAGTGAAAGGTGAGATGTACTACTGTGGTTTTAAGAGAGGTTTTCAAGGGCCAAGCAGAAGTTTCCCAGTTCCTCTTTTATCTGGTGGAGTGCCCTCTTGACTTTCTGTGGTGTGTTCAAAACCTCTATGCTGCTGGTGAAGGGGTCATAGTGCAGAGCAAAAGGCTTCTTGATCTTCATCGCGTAGTTCCTGTGGGGAGACAGGACAGAGCTTCTAGTTCAAAAAGCTTTTCCTGAAGTGCAAAACCTGCAGGACCTCATTTCTCAGGGTGCAGCCATGGCCTTACTGGGGAGCAGAGGCTGCTGTGACACCTCCTGGCTGCTTCTCCTGAGCTTTGCCTGGTGCAGCACATCCTGCCCACGTCTGAGCCCCAAAGATCTGCAGTGCCTGGTCTCAGCCTGGCTGGCTGAGTCCCGTCTGTGCTCTCACAGCTCTGCGTTCACACAATTCAGAGTTATTACAACCACAAGCTGAGGAATGCAGGAGCACAGCATGTCTGCCGCCTTCACTTCCAAGAAATAACCTGGAGCAGCTCTTTCTGTGTAATATTCTAAAAACCTGTTGATACTAGGCATCCTGGGCTATTTTTCTGTCTCTATTAAAAGAAAAAACATGATTGCTTGCCATTTTTGACAATATTTCCATTAAGTGCATGCTGCTAGGAACCCCCTGTACTGATGTTGCCTTATGTTTTCCGTGCTGACAGATTCTTGTGCCTTTAGTTATTTTGAGCAGCCTTGGCTGTGCAAGTGTCTTGAAAAAATGTATGAAAAAACTTCATGCCTGAGAGTGGTGTATTCCTTGTCCTCATACCTTCTTTGCAGGTTTGCCTGAGTCAAATGCTTTGCAAGTCCACTCTCTTCTGCCAGTGAGTGAATTTAATGTGAACATTTAGATTTAAGATGACAAGCCTAATTAGCCATGGTTATAGCCCCAGCAGACACTGCTTCTGGGGAAGAGAGTAGGGAAGAAGTCTGGCTCAGGTTCTCTTCCTCTAATAAATTCCTCATTTCAGCTCCTGCATGCTCCCCAGTAGCTCCACAACCAACACCCTACCTCCAGCCAGAATTGGTCATGTTGTTCTAACTGTTGGACACAAAGGCCAGAATTTAAATCCTGCTTACTTAAAAAAAAAAAAAAAAAAAAAAAAAAAAAAAAAANAAAAAAAAAAAAGGAAAAAGAAAAAAATATCCTTACTGCACACCATCACAGAGTTAAGGAAATGTGTTTAGAAACACCTCAAGCTAATTTGAAATTATGTTATTTAGGTTGCAGACAGCTATTTCATAGCAATTAGATTTCTGGTGAATGCTGATTCTGGATTCTTGTGCAGATATAATCAGAGGAGAAAGGCAATCTTGTTTTTAAGCCCCCTGCTGATCCATGCTCATTCCAGAGCCTGCTATGAAATTTCCATGTGACTTTGGGTAAATCAGTTCTTCACAATCTCCTCCTGTTTGTATGGACTAGCACATAGGGTAGGATTGCACTCTCACAGTTCAGTTATAGAATTTTCCTCAGAAGGTGCTAAAATGAAGCATTGTTAAGATAAAGCACGGGGACAGGGCATAGCAAAATTAAATTCAGACTTTCCGTGAACCTTTTCTGAGATAAGCAAGCTCCTGCTTAACTTTGTTGTACAAAAGCCACTATGCAGATGCTGAGATAGTAATGTAAATAGATGTATTTGAGGTCAAGAATCAAACCATTAGTTTTGTGGGGAACTAATGGTTACTGCAATGTAAATGTAAATTGATGTATTTGAGATTAAGAATCAAATCAGTATGCCCCCCTCAATGAAAATACCCACAAGCACTTTACTTACTGAAACTTAACCTTGGCATCTTCCAGATTTTCTGCTATGAAATAGACAGGCTGGAAGGCTTGATCCTGGTAGGGGTGAACTGCAGTCACTTCTGGGTCAAAAGGCTTGTGCTCTGGCTTGTTTGACAAAGCATACTTTGTAGCAGGAGCAACACCAGTTAGAGCAGGTGAATGAACAGAGAAAGAATTAGTCCCTGCTGAGCAGTGAAATTCTCTTTGGGGAATAGTTAGGGGTAATATAAAGTCCTGTTCTTTCATATGTCAGAGCTGATTTTCATAATTAGCAGTTAATAAACCAAATAATAAAGATTTTTTTTTTATGTATTTCCTGTATCACAGTGATGTAAAAGCAGAGAGCACAGCCATGTCCTCAGACAGGGAGGGGAAAATCTGTGTCACCCCCCAAAATATAAATATCCAGAAGAAAAAAAATCATGCTTCTTTTTTTCAAATAGTATCACAGAAGTTTCACACTCCTGTCTAGCATTACTTTAGAGTCCCCTAGACCTTGCCACAAATTTCATGCTTCCTGCTGCAATGAAGATCAGAAGACAGAATGCTTCTGGTATTTTATGCACAGCTCCCAGGCCAGTATAGCAACCTAAAATCTTCCCTGAAATCCAATATATAAATAAATACGTGTGCACATTTGTATTTTTGAACCCATAGGGGTTCTTCTATATATTTTTTTCTCCAGTTCTCTTATATTACCCCTCCCCAAGCAAACAAAAGGCTTATAGAAGCCACTTCTGTCCATACTGCAGTCACAGATACATCTATATAGTTTGTTTACATATACTGGAAATGCCTTTTAAACCAGCTACCAATTTGGCACTAGCACAAAGTCCTGGGAAGGCAGCTCTGCTTAGGCTTAAAGTGAGTTCCCAAACACTTTGTCTGCCCCTGAAACCCAGGTGAGGTACTTTAAACCCAGCTCAGCCCCAGTGACGTTTGAACTGCATCACGGATGTGCCTAAAAACTGGTTGGGCCTCCAGCTGGCCAGGTTGGTGAAGTGTCCTGGGTACAAACCAAAAGGAGAAAGGAACTCATCCCATCAATGCTGAGACCTTTCTTCCCACCTTCAGACTGGACAGTGGGCCCCATCCACCTAGGGACATTCTTTTAGTACCCACCCTTCTCTGAGATCTGTCTCTTTCCCTTTCTCCTGCCCCAGTCTTTAGAAGACACCCTTCACCATTTTATAATCCAGATGTCAGCTTTCAGGGTGCTACTTGTAAATAACTGGTAAGAGTGGGTGATGCTGCTCGAGACTTTCAGTTCAATCTGCTAGCTGGAAAAATTCAGACAGTACTCCTAAGCACATACTTAGACATTTCAATGAACTGGTGCAGAAATAAATACCAGGCTTAAAAAAAAACCTAACATAAACAAACCCAAAAAAACCAAAACCCAAAAACTCCCAAGAATATGTAAAAGATGGTGTTTTTCTTGCTCTTCATTTGCAGTGTGTAATTGAAGAGTAAACCTTGGATAGCACTCATACAATCTAAGATGGTTGGTATATACAAACATGAGGCTGCTCTTAGAATCTTAGAAGCTCTGGGGAACTAATGGGAAAAGGTTTCAGTAACTCAAAACCTGACAGGGGTCCTGCTATACTGTCAGTGTTGAAGCAGAACTGAAATCCCATTGATTTCAGTGGAAGTTCAGTTCAAAACTGGATGGCCTTAAAGGCCTCTATAAGTTAAGTACTGGGTGTGCTGCAAGAAAAGCATATGTAGCACTGAGTGTTGCCAGAATTGTGGTATGAGCCATAAGATTTTACAGTATGTAGGACAGAGTCCAGCTGAGTGTTAACAGAAGAAGCATTTGGGATAATGTAGAACAGCTGACAGAATATAGTGAAATAAACAGTGCAATACTGAGAGCTTTTGGGGAGGAATTCTTACAGTTCAGAGGAGGCAAGTTTGGCCAGCAGTCAGACGCATTACAACTGCTCAGTTTAGACTCAGGGATGGTTATCCTTCTGATACCTAGCTGCTGTTACTAAATGCTTTGTTAGGTAACAGGGATTTAAGTGTGAGGCTCATGCAGAGAGTGCCTAGCTCTTCCTCTCATTCTCTGCCTTACCCCCAAATTATGCCCTGAGTTTGGTCAGGATCAACTCATGCATAGAAAATATCTACCTGAAGCTGGCTTCAAACTGGTAGGAGTGGGTGCTGTGGAGAAAAGGGAAATGTTTTAGAGATTTCATAGTCAGGATGTGGTTCCCTTGGTTACAGTCACACACCCACAGACAGTCAGTCCGGGCTGCAGCTCAGGGATGTTCCCAGGCTTCTTGCTGATGCTAAGTTCTCATATAACATCAACTGCATGACTGCATTGCCCGCTCCCGCTGGTTAGTTGTTATCTTCTTGTAGCCAGCCATCTAACCTTAGTAACTCATGCCCTTATTCCCTCTTTGGTGACTGAATCATTCTGCTGCTCCTGGCCTAGAAGCCTTCAGGTCCAAAGAAACCTCTCCCTTGCCCAGGCTGCTGTAGTGTGTCTCCTTCAGCACATGACCTGCAGTGAGATTCCTACAGTATTTGCTATATTCACTGCCAACAAAGTGCCAAAACTTCAGTGCCTGTGCCAGATCTGTTGATCAGCTAAATGCCAGGGAAGTGAGTCTGGGACCTCCATGCAGAAGTCTGTGTCTGGCCCACTGAGAAGACTGGCAGATAATTATTAGGTTGGATAATGGCTTTCTGCCAAGCAGCAACAAAACTTATCTGGAGCAATAAACTCAAGTCTATCATGAGCCTCATTATCTTCCAGTCTTCATCTTCTCTGACAGATCTGTCTAGACACTATTTATTTCTAAAAAAATCCTTTCTATGAAACAGGCACTGCACTACACATATTTTCTCTCTTCGGCTGTAAAGGAAGCAGCTGGTACAGGTTTGCAAGTTACTAACAGGTGCTTAGGCATTGGACCTCACCACTTTACCCATACTGCCAGTGCCTACAATGAAGTTAGAATCAGATGCTCAGGCAGACTAGAATGAATAAATGGAAATATTTCTATATTTTGATTTTGTTATAAATAAAAATCAATGAGACTAAATCAGTCAGCTAAATAAGGAAACTTCAGCTCTTAAATTCATGGATATAATTAAGTTGTGTAGAACAAGTATCAGGAGTTTAAGGTGAATTGCAGAGAACCACTAAGCCATTGTTCCAGAAGATGCACAGTGAGGAACTTGCAGAGCTCACAAAGGGATTCTGCAGGGTGCATAGCAGAACTGCTGGATAACTGCTTGCCCATCTTCTGATTTTGGTGTTATATAAAAGATGAACATGCTGAAAGGGATATAATCCTTTTCATTACCTGTTCATTATAAATGCCATCATTCCTGCCTGTATTTTCAGTAATATGATGGATTAACACAGAGGTAGACTCAGCTTTTTCAAAAGTTTATCCAGTAGCTTTACCCAACAATTACCAGTGATAAAAGTAATGACAAAAAACTGCCATTTATCAGCTCAGGATCAGTTAGGACTTCCACTCTCAGCCTCAGAGGTACGGAGTTTGAGATGCAGTTGTACTTTTCTGTTCTATAGAGCAGTTTTGTGCACAAGCAGTCCTCGCCTATGGTTTTAACCAAAATCAGAAAAGCTTGTTGGTGTCTGAGGAAGAAAAAGGTGGAAATAGAGAAGAGAGAGGACAAGTCTGGTGCACTTGACTCCAGACACCAAAAGTGAGCATTTCTGATGAGATTTTTACATTCATTTGAGTAAAGTTTAAACAGAAAAAGGAAGTAACCACATCAGATAGATTTTGTCATGCATATTGCTATGAAAGCTACATAAATACCAGCAATATTTTTACCTCTGCCCTTTAGTATCCTGTTTAACACACAAATTGACTTGATTTAGAACCATAATAGTAGAATAAATGTGGCCTTGAATTGTGGTTTTATTGGACATTACTGGTTTTACCAGGTAAATGAAAGCAAGTTTATGATTCCTGTTTGTTGTCAGTGAATATAAGAAGTACTGAAGGATTCCCAGATAAACAGTAGCTTCAGCAGTACATAGTGTGAAGCTGATGAGCAATCAGGCCAAGATCAGGCCGCTGTGTAGGAAGGAAGTCATGTTTATTCCTCTAGAGGGCTAATGAACATGCAGATCTTCCAGCTTATCAAGAGAGAAAGCTCTCCACAGAGTTACCTCACAAAAATCTCCAAATTGCAAGTGTTGTGAGGAAAACCAATGCTAAACTCAGCAAACTGTAAAAGTGAAGGTTGATGTCTTGGAAGGTTTGGCTTTTCCTGTGTTAATTTCAGCTGCCATTCTGTGGGGTCTCCTACTTGAAATACCTTGAGATTCATCAAAATGTTGGGTTTTTCCTCCTGTCAATTGACTGGGAAGTGAGCTGACCTGTACACAATTGGGAGAGTTTTGTAAAATGTTTATTGCCATGACAACCCAACTATCTCCAGTTGTGGGAGTCCAAGCTATGCTAATACAGCCACAATTCCATGTGAATGTATCATGTATCTGGCTGTTAGGCTGCTGAGTTTATGTGTTAAGTTTAAAATATAACTCCCATGAAAAAAGAAAAAAAAAGGTTTCTGGTTTATAAAAAATGCTTGGAAAGAGTGGTATTTATTTTCCTTTGGCTCTTACCAGTTTAAAAAAAGGTCATCCAATATCTGCACAGCTTGGAGCTTTTGAGCCCTACCAGTTTAGGGCTTCTGCAATTAATAAGTGATCACCTGTATCAGTGCTCTTCAAAGTTAAGGAGAAATTAATATCTCTCTTATAAGCTGTTTGGTCAAACGAGGGGAAACCCACTTTCTGTAAAAGTGTGCAAGTCTTCTTTCTACAGTTAATCTACCTAAGCAAGGCAGCATGAAACCTGTGCTTGCAGATTTTGAGCTGTGTAAAACTAGAGCTGACATTAGTTTTGGAATGTATTTAGGAATGAAAAATTCTAAAGCAATTTCTTTTTATCAGTGTCCGTGCTATTTCCTGTTTCTTTGCACTTCATTTGGTCCAGTCAATCGGTGCCTTTCTGGTTCATGTGTGTGTGAATGTCAATAGCATGGAAAAAATAGCCAAGCTCATAATAGGCATAATATTGCCCTCTAGTGAGTAATTCAGAAAGGAGCGTGAGTTTTGTGTCAAAGTCAGCTGTATCACTACTGGCAGGAGCAGGAAGAAACAAATCTAATATTTTATGGGATGCTTGCTTTCATTGCATTTCGTCTCTTTAGATGAAAGACAGGTACAATACCACAGTAGCTTTTCCCCTATACAGTAGCTTCCGTGAAGGGAGAATTATTTCTTTGAAAATAAAAGTCTGAATTTTAAATCATACTAATTTTTGTAGTAAAAACATAGTTTGCTTTTACCAGAGTTCAGGAAAGTGGGTTATAGAAATCTTTCAATATGACATTTGTCACATACCATCAGCTCCCCATAAGATGAAAGCAGTCCTGCCCCGTAAGCCTTGATCAATCCATTTTGCTTGCAGAGGCCAAACTCCACAGTAAACCAGTAAAGCTGGGAATAAGAACAACTTGTGGAAAAGAGTCTGAAAAGGCAGGAATTTTTAAGCTTATAATCTTTCCTTTAATTTTCTTTTATCTTCATTTCTTAATACCATTGTATCTTCAAATGTTATAGTTGCATATTTAATAGTTGCATATTTTTCTTCACAATATACATAGCACACACTAAACGTAACATGTAATTTTTCAATTTTGATGTCCCACTTAGAAAAAAAAATTAAATTTTGAATGATAATACATGGGTAAATAAAGTTATATCCTTTTCCTTCTTTGGAAGATGTTACTAAGTACCCTGCAACCTCTTAGCCTCACTGTAGTCAGTGGAAGCTGCCAGATTTCCATCCACAGTCCCCAGAAGGACAGAAAGATCCTGACAGAGAGCTCAACACCTTTGCAAAGGTACTTGAAAGGAGAATTTCCTTCCTTCTTTGTCTGTGTGATCTCATTCAGAAGAATTTAATTTATTTTTTTTTCTGTATTGTGCCAAACATATGTAAGTCATGCTCCAGCAGAAAACAAATATATATTTCTCTGGGCTTTTCTTGTGATAAAAGCATACTTAGGACCATACTTCCTGTACCTGCTGGGCAACAGTGGGATGAAAGCAGCTCTTGGGTCTGCCAAACTTTTAGTGCTTCCCTTATTATAAAATCTGAGGAAGTGGACAGTGGAGGACAAGCCCTGGACACAGCCTAATGCCCAGAGAAGCTGGACAGGCATTGTGCAAAGGGAAAACACAGTAAGTGAGGCGTTTCAAGAATATGGTTTTGTCTCACAACTCTTCAAGGTTCCTTTAGAGACACAGAACACTTTGCTGCCTCATACACAGGGATAGACTTTGGCTTCATAGGTATGGCATTTTCAGGACCCTGCTTAAGGAACCACAGACAATTTGTAAATCTGGGACTTAGAATTTTTTAACCCTAGCAAAGGCAGGGATCTTAATCTCACTCTAGCCTCTCTAGACTCAGGTAGTGGAAGAGGCAGTGTGTACTGTCGCTGTCATAGCCTCCTCACATCACCAGTCCAGCACCTGAATGAAGTCACAAAGAACTCAGCACTTGTAGCAATCTTCAAAAATAATGGTGGTCTTACTTAGTCCTAACCCAAGGATGGATATGTGCAGATGGATTTTAGGTGAGCCACAACCTCCTTTCTGAATGGGACTGTGGACTGGTTAAGGAACTTTAGGAGTTACAGCCTTCTCTCATTCACTACCTGTACTAAATTAGTCTCACACAGTTTGGTGAGGGTAAGGCTCCTCTCCTCCTCTGAAAAAATCATCGAGGCTGCCATTATCAGAAAAATAAAAAAATCACCTGGCCTCCAGATGACTTTCAGAACAAGTCCAGATGGCAGTAAGGGGCTGTACAAATCATTTTGACAGTTGTAGACAGCCGAGTGACTCAGAACTGAATGGCAGTACCTGCTCCCCAAATTGCTTTTAAGTGCTCACCTATGCTCACCTATTTGGTTAGGTTAATGAATGTGGGGTGAACCAAAACGTGTGATGGGTCTCTGCACCCCATGTAGGAGAAAATACTGCTATCACCCTGGGTATCTAGTGTTTTAGGTGAATCTGAAATGTGAGTTGGGACCATCCTGTGTCTGAAATTGTAAGAACTCAGCTTAACAAATATATTCTTATAAAATCAATAAATGTAAACATTTCCTCAGGTGGAATCATCAGCACCATTCTGGGCTCCCCCAGAGGGATTCCAGTCCCTGCTGCAGCACCTTCCTAACTTGTGGAGGAGAAAAGGCAGTCCTGCTGATGCTCCCATTTCTGTAGTCAATCTGAGACACAAAAAGAGCCTTCCCTGCTCAGCAAGGGACTTGCAGTGAATCGTTTGGGGTTTGCCTCTAATATTAAACTGCCATCTGTACTTACTGTGGCCAGTTTCTCAATCTCCTCTTCAGATGATCCAAGAGAAGCCAGTCCAATATCCTAAAGCAAGTAAGCAAACAGACAGAGTTACACTGGTGTGATTATTCAGCCCAAGGGAGAGAAAGAGGGGAAGGGGGAGGGCCACATCATTTCTAGCATGAATAGCATGAACTATTCATTGTTTTTGTCACCCAAAATGACCTTCCATGGCTTCCAGGATGCCTACCTCTCCCTGGCCCCCAGCTACATACCACTGGGAGCCACATTAGATGAGTGATTAATCCTCAGTGTTCTCTGTAAAATTAACCATCTCTTGTCTTAATGCTGGACTATCTATACCAGGCAAAAATTTACAGGGAGTCATGAGAAGGAAGGACAGAAAGATGGGTTTTATCTTTGTCATTACCTTTCTGTCCCTCACTCTTTCTGACAGCCCTTTATGAGCAGGCCAGATCTATGCAGGGATGATTCTGTTTACTTTCATCTGCGCTCCCTGTTAAATGTTATTCTCACACTAGGAAACTGTTCATGTCTCTTTTTTTTTGCTATCCCAGGAGCCATATCATGCAACAAACAAGCAAAATTAGGGCATTTTCACCATTCATCGTCTCATATTGAATGGAGCAAAAAAGAATTTCCATGGGGTGAATTTCAACTGTGAAAATACTTTGTGGGGACAAAAAAAGTGAAATGTGAAAATTCACTGAATGTGATCTCATGTTTTGTAGTCTGTGGTATTGATAGGAAAAGAAGAAAATGGAAAACTTTGAAATTGCTGTAGTCTTTTATTTGTAATGTGTCTTAAGTTACAGTATTGAACTGACCTGAATAGGTTTCCTCCAGAATAAATTATAGATGACTAGCATGCTTAAAGTACTACTCTTCTGATTCTGTTAATAACGAATATTTATGATGAAAATGGTAACTGGCATGTATTCAAGTTGATACAACTGGAAACCACATCATATGAGGTGAACTGATTTTCTTTTAAAGATATTTCTTCTGGGACCTAGCTCATGCTGGGACCTACATCATGTTACCCCTCCGATCCTATTGCTAGTTTCCATACTGGCCACTGATTGACAAGCCTGGACAATGAGATGTCTTCTTCCCTCTGCTATGGTTTTGAGGAACATTCATAGTTCTGAAGTCTTTTATTAGGAGAGGTCATTGAGTTCAGTTGGGTTTGACACTGACCGCTCATACTAAATAGCCCCTTGTTGTACAAAGTAGCTCTGTTTGCTTTTTGGAGCCTCCTCACCAGTGTGAGCAATGCTGTGAGAATCTGGTGAGTTGTAAAGGGGAAAATAACTCTGATGAATGACATGGTGATGGACACAATTAAAGTCTCTTGTGAGACAAGAATGTAGATCCAGAGACAGAGCCAGCTTGGAGGCTCAGCTGTGTAGGTTCATGTGGTGTAGGACAGGAATCAGGGGAGCAGCTCGGTCAGCAGAGCTCAGACTCCAGCCCCACAGAGCCATCTTCCTCCAGACTGACACAGCCCTCCCACAGAGAAGTCCCACAAGCTCTGCCTGCCCTTCCTTTCACACCATGTCCACAGGGAGCAGTGTCACCACTCCCTTGGAGGAAATATCTCCCAAGTCACTGCTAGCCCACCATGCCTGGAGGTCATGACTCAGGAACAATCCAGTCTTAGAACTGCATTTCATGGTGAGCTGCATGTATTGAAGGCACTCTGGCCTGCTATCCAGAGCAGTTGGTTAAGGAGCCAGCAGAAAATGTTCTTACCTGTGAGAACTGGGCAAAATCCCTGTCAGCCAGCATGGGAACATGACCCAACAACTCATGGCAGCAGTCTCTGGAAAATAAGTGCCCTTCTTGTTTAGTAAAGGCTTCCTTTCCTGCCCTTCATGAACTCCATGTGAAGGACTTTAGCCAATAGCCTCCAAAGGGAGCTGGTGTGAGTTCTGCTCCACAGTGGCTGCCTCCGTACATGGCCTAGCTCTGCAAGGATCAGAGCACTCTCTCCAGCCACAGGCAGCCAGCTGCCCCCTGCCACCTTGTCTATTGTCTCCTTGGGATGGCATGGGCACTAACCTTCTATGTCACAACATCTTTGAAAGGTCCCTGTTTTGTCCCAGCATACAACAAAAGTGTCTGTGTGAACTTGTAATTTCTCATGAAATGTAATTGCTGTTGTCTGGCCAGCACTTACTGGGAGAGATTCACAGCAGGAAATCAAACCCTAGCAGATGGTAACTGAAGGCAGGATGAAAAGATTAAACCAGATACTCTTCAGTCTTTTCCTTCCCCAGGCAAAAGAGACAGAGAACCACACCCTCTCATGCATGACTTCCCCTTCTAAGTCTCCAGCTACCAGTTTCTCAAATTGTTTTATTCTGTAGACTACTGGATGGAACTCCAGAGCCAGTCCCAAGAGGATGAGCCCCAGCACATTCAGAAGGATGGAATTATGTCAGGGCATCAAACTTACGGTTCTGGGGAATGCATAGGAGAAGAGGAATGCCTTGTATACTGTGTGCACTGAAAGACACGAAATGCCAGGCTGGCAAGGAAGTCACGAGCAGACAGCTGTCCTGCAGCAGGTCTCAGCTGGAAACCTGTTCTCTCTGCAAAGGGAAGGGACACCAAATTCAGCTCTTTCTAGGGTTAACTACACAGCATATATACTTTAGCTAAGTAGTTTCAGGGATCCTTCCTCTTCTGTTGGGATAGTTCCCTCCACCAAGCATAGCAGGCACAACTTGGCTTATCACGATTGATGCATAGGACCAGTTCCTGCAACATGGAATCACCTATTCATCTATCCTGTGTGTATTACATAGCAGTATCACGAGGTGTGGGAGCCCTGCCCACTCCAGTGCACATTTTTGCACATACACACACAATTCTCTCTGTTCCACATGACTCTGCTGTGTCTGAGGCCACACATGGCCCTTACGATCAAGCAGGGAACAAAACCTGCATCTGGTGCTTTTTCTTCTTTTTTCTTGGTTTTTTTTTTTTTTTTTACCATTATGTTTGTCTAGAATCCACTACACAGCCTCCCAACGATGTGATTGTAGGTGTTTTGCTGTGCACATGTCCACAGAGCAGGACACAGAAGAATGCAATACTTCTGCCCTGTGATTTCAGCTTGTACATCCAGTGTTACCCCAAAGTACTCTGCATTACCATGAAAGGACTGTGAGAGATAACCAAAAAAATAACCAGTTTGGTGGTCATAGAACACACACTCTACATTTCCATGGGAAAGATGTTGGTGGTCTGCAAAGCTAAGAAAATTGAAAATCACCACTTTCAAAGTGAGCCAATGATAATCTTTTTGAAGTCCTATATTCAAAATCTGTGTTTCATTCTCAGCTCCTGTAAATGACATCTCGTCTTCTTTAAAGCATAAAACAGCATTTTAGAAAAATCAGAAATGGCTTTATTTTCAATTCTTCATCCATATTCTATTGTGTCTTGAAGCCTATAACCTTTTTTTTTTTCCTTTTTTGTATAAACAAACAAAAAAATCCCACCCAGAAACCAAGCCATTTACAAGATTTGTTTTGATTTGTTTTTTCATGTTTTTTTTTTCCAGAATTTCTTGTCTTACTCTGTCAGGCTATTAGTATTTTTCCCATTACAAAATGAAACAAAACACTCAGAGAAAGAAAAAAAAGGAAAAAAAATCAAAGAAATTACAAAATATATGAAGAAATAGAGGACTAAGAGGACAAAAAGAATGCTTCTTCCTGACATTGTGATGGACTAGGTGGTGGGCATTTGTCACTGATATCTTCTATTGCTCCACTCAATTCAAAGGTAATTAGTACAGAACTGCCTCAAAAATTAACACTTAAAAAAAAAAAAAATTAAACCTATGGAGAGTATGTATCTACCTTTGTCTATTTGCTCATCCAGTCCAGAGGAATGTGAAAATTTCAGAATCTGGTAATCTTTGGGCTGAATTCTGAGTGAAAATTGTACTAGATGAAAAATATATTATATGAAAACCAAGACCTTAGTAACTCAATTTTGGAAGGACTATGAAAGAGTCCAGGGAAATTTATACAGCTTTAGCATCCATGTTGGAGGAGAAGAAGGGAAAATGAAAATTACAACTTGCGTTCCCTGAGATGTTCTTTTAAATAGCAGCCAGTGAATCAGACAGTCTGCTGATGGAACAGACTTGTCCAGTTGCCTTGAAAAGCCCTAGGAAAAAGTTACCTGCTGAAGGTAATATCTGCAAAACCTGAATTTCTAGTTCATGACTGCACAATAAAACCAGCAATCAGTAGAGAACTGGGGATGTGGCTGGTTGACCTGCTGCCCAAAGATCTGGGAAATCAAAGAGCGTTGCAGAGAAGGTCTTGAGCAGTTGACCTAAAGTAATCTGCAAGGCTTAATTCTTGGCCCAAAAACTGATGTATACAGGCAGCCTGTGCATTGTAGTGTGAGCTTGCTTGAGATCACTGGCTGTAATTTCTTCCAGCTGTGGAACACAATGACTGCCTAAATCCAAACATCTTTCCTAGAAAGAAAGATGTGCCTAGGTCCATCTAGTTAACCCTTTAGGAAATCACTTGCCATGTGTAAGGGATCACACTGTTAACTACTTAATTCCCTTTAAGTAATTGGGAAATATTTGTAAAGTATTGTTCATTTCTCTTCAAGCCAGCCTTACTAATAGGTAATAACAGACAAATCTCATACTGAATCAAAAGGAATTGCTTTCTTATGTTCACAGATACTGCTAAGTTAAAGAGAAGATGGAAGTTTATCTCGCTGTGTGGGATGGTTTTAACATGATCACTTTCTTTCCACATTATCCCTCTCTCTCTCTCTCTCTGTGCTTCCTGTGGTTTATTATTTTCAAAGCTGTACAAGGGGAGGTTCAGAATTGACATACAGAAGCATTTATTATCTGAGAGGGTGGTCAAACACTGAGAATAGGCTCCTTAGAGAATTGGTGGGTGCCCCAAGCCTAACAGCATTTAAGAGGAGTTTGGTCAATGCCCTTAACAACATTCTTTAATTTTTGGTCAGATGTTAGACCTTGCAGATGCTTCTGACTCAGACTGAGTTTGGGCCTTGCAATAATGTCAATCTTCTTGCTATTCTAGAAAGTATTCTGCATAGTGAAATCACCTTCTTTGAGGAAAGTGAGCCAAGATATCCATTCAAAGCCTCATATAATGGGACTAAAATAGTTTCCTCACCTCTTAATTGTGCCTAGCTGTTAACACAGCTCTTCTGAAAAAAATTTGTTTCATTCAAGCATAACCTGTAGGCTAAAGTAATCCAATTTTAATGTACAGTTTAATGAGGGCAGGATCAGTGGTCCCAAGAACTATGAATAGTTCTATATTTTCCTTAACTGTCCATTTCAGAATGGAATAAAATGCCTCTGAAATACTTGATATTCATTCCCAGTTAATTCATACAATCAGCTTATGGTAGACACCTTGTGTTTATAGTAAATGAGTTGTAACTCACTGAGAACATAGTTCCAAATATTACTGGCAGGCTTTCAGAGTTGCTGTTTAGTTTGTTTTGTTTTGTTTATGACACAGAGAATATTTAGAATCAGAGCCTGTAAAGGGAGTGAGCAGACTCCCAGCAATCAAATCCTGTCAACTAACATGAGCAATGCAAATAGGATTATAGCAGGATAGTTTTACACTATCATAAATTCTCCCACTTTGAAATCACCTGATCCACTCGAAGGATATGCATATCTGTGATAATCAAGTCAGAATCACAATTCCTGGAGCTCCCTGCTGTCAGCTATTGTGTAAATTAAATGAGATCAACTTCTTCAAGACAAAAAGTATTTATCAGCCCAGTTATAATAAGAGGGAAGTAAGATGGGTAGTTGAATAGAAGTGAGAATACATGAGAAAATACATAATGCCTACACAGAAAAATTTCTACAGCTGGGTGCAATGGTGTTCATGGAAGATATGCTTTTCACATGGCAACTCTCCCTTCCTTTACATTAAACGTGCAATAAAAACCATGTAATCAAACAGCTTAATCTTCATGAGAAATGTCAAAGTCTTAGAAAACTCTTCAGACACAGAAAGCTTATTCAAGCTAAATGATATCCCCTACTATTATATGGAGCAGGTCACTTGATTTTCTGAGTATTGTATTTAAATGCAATTGATTGAAAGTTAAGACATATATTTTATTGTGTATTTCATCATGGTGATAAGCTGTCCTCTCTCTGGCACATCTTTTCACTGAGGAGGAGGCTTTAAAGATCAATCACCTCTCTTTAGTAATTCTTGATAATCCGGTTTACACAAAGCACCTGTCTTTGGGAGTCCATGTAGCCTGTGGCCTCATAATGCAGGCTCCCTTGCTCTCCTGCTCCTTGCTAGCTAACAGGTCAACCTGGCAAATTTGTGTGTCCTTTTTTAAGGTGACTTCTTCATGCCTTTATGGACTACACCACATCCTTTGTGCTCTCCTGTCGGCATAGGGCAGGCACCAAAAAGTTTAGTGTGACAAGTGGTGCTACAGACAGAAGGAAGCAGAGTTGTTTCAAGGCAGCTGCTGATTGACCAGAGGATGTCCTGGAAATAATTTTCTCTAGCATACATCCCCATCCTGCCTGATGGATCAGGAAAAAGATGCACTTTAGAGGTATGTACCTCTGCTTGTGTTTGGGTCTTACTATCAGCATGGCTATGGAAGCATAAAACAGAGCCAAACCCATATAAGGCTGGGTGGAAGTCACACTGAGGCACTGTGTGCTGTGACTGCACTGCTGCTAGTACAGGGATTAGCTGGTTAGTGACACACTAGCAGCTGCCACTCACAGAACAGACACAAACTTCCAACTGGGTCCCTCTGTGTGTGTGGAATGAATGCCCTGTGCTAGAGCTCATCAGCTCTGCTCACCAGCTTGTTTCCTTGTGGTGCACAAATATGTGCAGGGAACCCTAGAATAAATCATGGTTTATAATGACTGACCTTTTAAAAATCTGGAGACATCCTGAAGCTGAGGGATGTTATCCTCTCGGTAGCTGCAGTGCTTCTCGAGCTGCTGGAAAGCATCCAGGTACTGGGCACAGGCATGAGTAGGGTAAAGGCTCCTCAGCTTCCTGTAGACTTCTTTCCTGGAAATCAAAAACCGGATAGTGTGAGACACCTCAATAAAGCAGTGTTGGGAAGGATGGATAAATATAATTATCCATAAATAATACATCCAGGATGAGAACAGTCCTCCCTGCTAGCCAGACAATGCCTTTGCCCATGGATGGGTCCAGGGGTCAAGTGGATTGTTCCATCTCACTCCCCAAAATGTATGGTTCACCCTGCACCTGTATCCCTCCCTAAAATATCAAGTGCTGTAACCCCATTGGCCCAAGCCTTGTTCCAGCCCACCCTGAAGCCCCCTGATAAGGGGTCTTTGAGGGGCCAGACCCTCTCTTGGATCTTCCCCCTCATAGGACCTCCACCCTTTCCTAGAGCATCCTCCTGTCTCTCCCCTCTCCCATCTCCTTAAGCCTTGCCACGTGCTGTGTCTGGCAGCTTGAGGCAGGACCTTTCTGTGTCCCTAATAAACCTTAGAGCAGCCTTCAGAGATTTCTCATCTCCATTCACATAAACCATCCTGGAGCACAGCGCGCCCTACAAAGCAGTATTTATCTGTACCATCTACAGATCCACAGAGAGAAGTAAAGTCCCAGCATGGGGGTCATAGTCTAAAAATCTGAGCTCGGGACACCTGGTGCTTGAAAGCTGGTTCTGGTTGGATGTAGAAAATCGTAAGGGCTTTTTATTTTACTTTTCCTTCAAAAGGTGTTCTTTGATGTTACATAACTCTAATTCTGATACAGAAGTGTTTCTTGATTAGGCACCTTCTTGCTAAGGGTGTTGGAGGCATCAGGGGAATCTTGGAGAGAGCTGAATCTGGGATACTCTGTTGTTCAGTTTAGGAAAAGAATGAATCGGGTATTCCCCTCCTTTCTATCTTTGGGTACAACTTGAAATGTTGGTCCCTCCTTTTCCACCCTGAAGCCTACCCTAGATCTGCCTCCTAAAAACCTCTGGGAAAAGCATCTCTTCTGATACTGAAGGGTAATATCTGGACAGGTGAAGAGGTTTGTATTTTTGTACTTCAAAATGCCTAGCACGGGCTATGTATTTGAACGATATGCCAGCTTCTTGAAGCATTTATCCCACTACGCAAAAAGAGACCAGCTGAAAATAATATATGTAACCTGATTTGGGCACAGGCTTTAAGCTTCTCTTGGATTTAGAGTTGTGGTTTGGAACATATTTAGCTGTTGCAAAATAAGCAAGTAGTAATAGGATGGCAAAGAACCTTATAGAAACGGTTATTTTTGTTCAGACGTGGCCCTAGGGTCTCAACAACTTTATAAACATTGTTTTATGAAAATTGAGATCATTCTTGGAAATGCCGGGTATGGGAAATGACCTTTTGTTTGCTTTGTAATTTTTTTTTTTACCATTATTATTATTATTCTCCTTTTTGTGATGCTGTTGTTGCTATGGAGGTGATAGCCATTCCCTGGTAATGGCTCTTTATTTGTACCACTGTCTTACGCAGTGTGGGAGTAATAATGAACCAGAATGAAGCAGGGGAGGAAAACCTTAGGAGGAAAAAAAGTTAAAAGAACAGAGGGAAACAGTGGCTGCTGTCACTATTGCAAAAGCCACAGGAGACTGGGCCATTTCCATGGAGGAATTAGGAAAAAATGAGGAGGACTAGAGTTCAAGTGTTCCCCTGGCTTATTTCCTCATAGAATACTACTGACTTCAGGGGGTTGTGTGGGATTTGAACCAGTACAGGGTTCATGCTCAGAAGGGAGTCTAGAGAGAGCAGCCTTGTTTACACTTGTGCACATATGGTCTCTTTTATCAAAGTGTCATTCTGCTGTGTGTCCAAACACTGGCTACCGCAGACATGCAGGCAGTCCCAGGGACCAGTGATGAATTAGCCAAAGCTAAGTGGTCCTCTAAGACAATCATCTAAGTTAATCCTCCAAAGTCAAGAGAGTAGCAGGTATGAAAGAACTGCTGGAAGCAAACTTTATGAAACGCTCTAGAAAGGAGCATCCTAATAAAAGATGGCTCCAGATGCTTGACAGAGTTTAAAGATGTGGCAGGTGCATTCCCATAATTTTCTCCTGAATTCTCCATTTTTCTTACACAGATTTTGCCCATATAGCATCTCTGATTGCTTCGTTTCAGGGCCTTCCAAGAAGTCACTTTGAAAACAAAAGCTCAGATCATCTGTACCCTCTGTTTTCTGAAAGTCATATTTCTTTGCTGGCTTGGTTTTCATTTTTATAACCACGTTGCTACAAACTGAAGGCATCCAGCATCTCCTCAGAGTGACACCAAGGGAATTTAGCTTGTGCTACAAATTTCCTCTGCAATTGCACAGTGCTCAATTAAGCTGTGCTGTAATGCAGCTGACCTCAGGGCACAGTCTCAGGGGGCTGTGATAAAAATTGTGAAGGCTAATTTTGGAAACAGCTTTACATAACAAGATAACCTGGGTTGCTGGGGTTGGCTGATTAAGGAAATGGGCAGATACTCTTTAAAAGTCTATTCTGTTGCCACAATGGGTCTAATTCTAGGTGGAGAAGAGCTGGAATGACGAAGGTTGGCAATAAAAGAGAAAAACAGGAAAGAACACAAAATTAAATTTTCCTAAATATGACATTCCCACACACCATCCCATGCCAAAATTGTTGGCTGGTGGTAGTAATCATGAGCATTACACTGACCATCAATCTTTGACTATTGAAAGATGCTATAAAACCTATTTGAGCTTAATAAAAGTGTGTCCTCCTGGATGAGCTGGATGCAAGGTTTTTATGTGGTCATGGCTTTCTGTGGCAAAGCAGATTTTACTTAAAGTATTGAAAGAGGTGGGATGCCAGAGAGGTTCTGGCATGAGGCATCTAGTTCTACAGATTTAAATCTTGGAATTGGAATAATCTTTGCTTGTTATTCAGGGCAAATTACTTAAGTTCTGGGGTTTTCAGTTGCAGTTAGAAAATGTGGTCTTCATTCTTCCTTTCCCCTACCTTTAGGCATTCTTTTGATTTTAATTTCTGAACAAAGACTCTCTCTTATGTGCCTATATGGAACCTTGCACAATCCCAGGTCTCTGCTCTTACTTGAGACATTTGGACATATTAATGCTTTGTAGTATCACACAAATGTGGAATTACTGCTGCTTACTGATAAATTTTAAAGTTAGTGGGGAAAAGTGGAAAGAGAGGGATTTGAAATAAGAACTCTGCTCTCTTTCAAATCTGCCACATATTTCGCATACTGTTTAAAATGCTTTGAATTGAATTAATTTTATTTAATTCATTGGTTGTGGTTTGGGGGTCTCTTTTTTTTTGTTTTTTTTTCTTGAGTGGCAGACCTTCAGGAGAAACAAAGCCCATGTGAAGAAATGCTGTAGCCTTGTAAAAATAATTTACCATCATTTCATATGATACCTAAGGCCCTTTCACAGTGTAAATAATGTATATTTGAAAGGCATTTCAAACTTTCCTCTACCTTCAGTTTGAGAAAATGATACATATTCATGTTAAAAGCAATGAATACTTGAAGGAGAACAAGCAAGGCTCCTCTGTCCTGTGGATATTGAATTAGCCATATCCTCTGAGTGAATTTCTGTCCTGTCAGTGGGCATTTTCTCCTGGTAATTAGTCTGAGAATGTGATATTTCTGCCAGCACCATAGCTATGGTGAATTAGAGGTCAGTCAGAACAAGTAATTCAATAGGGTACGGGTGTTTTCTGGCTTCTGATATCCTGATGGGATCTGCAGGTAGGGAGATAGTCAGGAAAATGCCTTTTACTCTAGAAAGTGAATAGTTAAGACCCGCTCTGAGAATGGCTTTCTGCAAAACAAATGACCAAAAGATGACATTTAACCAAAGAGCAAAATTACGTTGGATGAACAACATTTTAAAAAGGTTATAGCTGTCTCACATTGCTGGTCTTTCCCGGGACTGCTGTGGAATAGCCCAGCAGTTGAAGCACAAGTACCAAACTCACCAGGTTGCTGTTTCCTGTGCTGTGTACTCAATGTGAGGTAAAGGATCTCCTCTGTAATGAAGAGAAGAAATACGACTCGTGTCTCAAGATTTCAAGTTCAGTTTCCAAGCTTTTTTTTTTTTTTTTTTTTTGCCTGCACTGTGAATTTTTGATGTAATGAAAATAGAAACAGCTAAATAGTTAATAATGAACCATCTGTTTGTCTTGGTCAGCTCTAATGTGGGTGTTCTCTCTTCTATTACAATGTGGGGAGGAAACAGAGGGATATATGAGAAAGGAAGCTGTGTTTCTGGTTCACAGATGGAATTAGGGACCTCCAGGCTTGCCACTGCCTCTGCTGAAGGTGAGCAAAACACAGTGTGTGCCTGGAGGGACCCTCCCTGGAGGATGTGATCAGCTCAGCACCATCACAGAGAAGCTTTAAGAAACCCATGGGCAGAGAGCTGCCCAGGCACTCTCTGTGTTGTTAGCACTGATTCACTGATGGGTGCTCTTTTCTCCTCTTCCTCACTGTTATTTCCTCTGTAGCTCTGAGTCAGTTCAGTTCTGCTTTTGGGCTGTTCTGAGCTGTGCTGACTCTGATATTTAATGGAAAGACAAAACTGTATTCAGAAATCTCACAGAAGTCTTTGGAGACTTCACCAGTTCTTGGATAACATGAGGCTGATAAACCATGACCAGTTGTACCTTCACCTTTGATTTACCCTACAGAAAGCAGTGTAGTTCTGGTGAAGTTTTACACATAAAGGTAGAAACATTTCCCATCACTTACATGAGAACTGAAAGCTTTTTATGTTTTTAGGTAGTTAGTGTCCATAGACAGAGACACTTAAAAAAGCAAATAACAAAAAGCACAAAAATCACTTTCCACTGTCAAAAGTATGTTTGTAAATATTGTTCCTCAAATTTTCTTGAAAAAGATTAGCCTCAGCTCAGCACCAAGTCCTAAAAGGAACTTGAAAATTAAAATGAAGGGTCATATTGCGATCACTTCTGCTAAAACAAAATCCAGCACTGGACTGGGATATGTGAATGCAGTCTTCAGATTTTTTGTCTTAAAATGTTTTTGCTGTGCCATCACAAAAGTCTAGTTCACATGGAGTGGAAGCTTTTGTGGCTGAATTTTGTTGTCTCAAAAGTGGCCCCACTGATACATGAACAAAATGACATCAATGACATTTTTTGCACGTCAAGTCTGACAGCGTGGACTGTTGCACTTTCCCTTCAGCAGCCTTGTACTTACGCTCTGTAATTCAAGGCCAGGTCGGCAAAGAACGCCCTCCTCTTGTTGTACTCCAGGTCAGAGTATCCCTGGGTTAGAAAATAATCAGGAAAAAAAGTTTTACATTGTGAGAGATCTGTGGGCATAAGTAGAAATCATCAGAACCACCACTGGATCTGTGGAAGTGCAGGGTCCCCACCCAGTTCTCACTGTCCATTTTTTACTATGTTGTGATAAAGACAGACTCAGTGGTATCTGTTTAAAGGGGATGTTTACCTACTGAACACCAGCATTTTCTTTCTGATCCTTCTGTGTTTACTAAAAATAAAACTTCAAGCAGGCTTTGCCAGCTATTGAATATGCATACAGACATGGAATAACATTCCTTTTAATTTGCATCATTCATAATAGGTACTAAAACTTAAATCTGGAACTGTGTGCTAATATAACTCATAAAACAGCATTGATCAGCATCACTGTACAAATATTTATTATTCTAAAATATTCAGAATTTACTGGAACTATTTTGTATCCTGCAAGCCAAATTTGTCCCTTAGGTTTATTCACATAATTTTTAGTGTAGCAATAATACCAGTAACCCTGCAGTTAATGAGTGTTGTGTGGATGAATCTGAGGAAAGAGCTGGATCCTGAGAGCATGTTTATTTCATCATGTATTGTGGGTAATATGTTCATTCAGGTGCTTGTCAGTGGCTGTACCAAGCCCATGCAAAACCCACAAAAAGCTGCTGGGCCTGACTCACACAGATGCAGGGACATCCCAGCTTTGTCCCTGTGGGCTCTGCACCCATTCTCTGTGCAGCAGGAGCCTCCCTGGGGCACCTGCAGCCAGTGACAGGGGAGCCCAGAAACTGGTGCCACAGTGACATCAGTTTGATTGTTTTGGCCAGTAAAGAACAAACTGAAGGTGTGGAGAGAAACAACCCAAACTGTCTATTTGATAGGAAATGTATATGCAAAATGTTTGCTGAGCTACCTGTACATCAGCTTCTTTTGTGCTTTCCTCCATTTCTGAGCCCTGCTCAGAAGTCTGGTAAATCAGCCCACACTGTGCCCTCTCCTGCCACAGACAAGGGATGTTCAGTGCCTGAGATAACTTGTTTTCAACTTGTTAGGTATTTCTAAATTGCACTACATTCTGCCATTTAGATTTATTCCCACTCAATACTTCAGTAACTCAGCACCACTGCTGCTTCCTTGCAACCTCTTCAGTGCTCACACCTTCTATTTGGCAAAGGGTGAGGGGAACCTAGTCCAGTTCAAAGAATTCCCTATGTGTGCTCATTTATCTAATGAGAAACAGCCTAAGAGTTAGCTCAGGAAAATTACAAACACTTGGACTGTTTGTATCAGAAAGAAATAAGGAAGAATGAAAGATGTCCTTGTTAAGTAGGACATGAAGCTCTCCTAGAGCATTATAGTTGAATAAATGATTCTCAAAAATAAAATATAGACTTATAGACTTGGAAAGGTCTTTTTTATATTATACAGGACTGTATATAGCTCACAACAAAACCTGGTGTAGGCTAATGAAAGGGACTAAACAGAATTCAGACATGTAGAGAAGAGAATGACAAAAAAATGTCTTGTAGTTTCTGTTGACACACATCTAACCTTCACTACGTTTCTCAGTGCAAAGTATCTCTTCTTTTTGTCCCTTCCATGCATTGCTTCTATGTGATTCTTGACAGAATAAAATGCTTCTGTGACCTGACTTGTCAAGTGACCTTTTGGGGTCCCTTTTGTGTCTGTGCCTAACTCATGTCTCATCTGTACTAAAGCTGGGAAACTTTGATGAGAAATAAGTGTTAAATTGTTTGTTTGTTTGTTCCAAGTACTTTGCCTTACTATCATCACTAGAGCAGGACTCTACAGTGCATTTTTCTTTCCCTCTCCTAGAGCAGGGCTTAGAGCAGGCCTAAGATGGCACACATAAAGCTGTTACAGTAAAACCCTTTTTGTGGTTTTAAAGATGAAATAACAGTAATGTTAAACTTACAGGGTGACCATGGTCCAAACTGGAGTCATATTTAGTGATCAGATGGTGACACTTGTCCAGATCCTGGATTTTTCTGGGGAACCAGGGCACTGGAGAGAAAGCAGAAAGAGTTAAGTGAGAGAGAATCAAATACATTTTAGAGAGAAAATAAGAGCTGTGCTGAAGATTATAAACTTTCTTTTCATCAATATATAAGAATATTCATATCTACATGTTACCATGATTGTTACACATCTCAGTAGTTGAATTGCTTCCTGACCAAATGGGCAGATTGGATGAAAAATTATCTGAATTTAACTTGCTGTGATCTTCTCTCAGTTTTAATTAATAAAAATAATTTTTAAAGGTAAAAATACTTTTTAGATCAAATGTGTTTTTTGTTTAACACAGGACAACAAATTTATTTCTTCATTCTGGATTTAAGAATATATTTTGTTCTTGTCTAAACAGCAGTCTTACCTTTTCATACCTTTAAAAGTTAGACAATATTTTAAAAGGAAAACATGTTATTCATAAAATTTCTAGAAACCAAAGAAGTGAAAATAATCTTCAAGTATTTTGCTTCTGGCTCATTATTTTTTCCAGAAACATTATTCTTTAGCCGTGTTTCCAAACAGCTTCCTTCTCATGAAGTGGGAAGCTTTATAAGTGACTAAAATGAAAATAAAATGTGATCATTTTATTTTAAATTAAAAATAATTTCTGGAAAAACACAAAGTTGATATTGCTTTCCAAAGTCTGATTGATGCTGTAATCTGACTTTCTGTGTTACATCTCAGAAAGGTCCATTTGGGGTCACCTCAATCTCATACTGGACAAGACATCAAACATCTCTCTACTGAACGGTAAATTTAACTTTTGCTATATTATATTAGATCCAAGCACATCAAGTTTAGAGAAGTACAAATCTAAAAATACCCACAGATGTTGGGGAAATTATGTAATTTTCATGCATTACAACCACTTCTAAGTAGGAAGAAATTCCAGTCTGACAGATGCCTTATGTGTACCCAGATCTCTTTTCTGAGCCTTTGTCTGTGGCCGTACCAGTGGTTCTGCATGCAAGGTACCTTTCCTGCCATCTATTTATTGCCATATCCCCTCAAAACCTGTGCCTGATCACAGCTGCCCCAGTGTGTCCCCATACACATCTTGCCTGTTCCCTTCAGAAAGAAACATAAACACAGCCTCTTTTAACAGTCTCTAGTTTTTACTGTAGTTCCAAGTCCTGGCACATCTGAGACCTCTCAAATCCCAAGGAAATCCTAAAGGAATTCTTCTCCAGCTCCAAAACCCTCTTTGGCTTTCCAGTTTCCCTGATAACAGTGATGTCCTTTTCATATGCCCACAGATCCTGAGAACAGCTTGGCGAGGGCTGCCTCTCATTGTTAGCCTGACTGAATTTCAAACAACACCCAAAGGTGCCCAAACAGGACTGTGTAAGTTAAAATGCTCTAGAAATATCTGTCTGGCCTCGTCAAGGGAGGGGAACCCCATGGTAATTCCGTGCTCAGAGAAGTCAGTCTGTGAGCTGGACCCTCAGCCTTCTCATTTGTCATCCTCAGGATTGTATTAAAGGTCTCTAACAGCTGTATTCATCCATTCCTCCCTGCAAACAGGAAAAACATCCATTTGCCTCTGTGTTTGTCTTGAAGCAATTAGTTCTCTGCACAGCTTTCAGCACAAAATCTTCCTGTCATTGAGGAGTTTCTAGTTTTCTTCAGCTTTTTGTTCTGCTGTTCTATCCTTCCCATCTCCCTCTTTGCTGGAAAACTTCTCACCTCAGTTCCACAGGCAATGATAAAGTGCCTCCCTTTCTGCACCAATGGCAGTGGAAAGCAGCCATGCAGAGACAAATAATGAATGCACACTCACTGGCTTTCCAGACAAATTGAACTACTATTATGAAGCTGAAGCTAAAACTAAAAATTACTCCAAAAGAAGTGCACTAAGAGATGCATACATTTCTTACCTTTGTCTTCTCTGCTGGTTTTCACATCCTTTGCTACTCTCTTTAAGGAGGTGATAAGGATACCAACATCAGCACTGTGAACTTCGCATTCAACAAAAATGTCAAGATCATCCACAGAGTTCTTGGGCTTTTTGGCTCGACGGGTTTCAAAGTGACAGATTTGAGTTTCAAACATCTGCAAGAGCCAAGTGTTCATATGATGAAGCTTCTCCAAAGACTGAAAATCCAGGTAAGTCTAGATACATTTCTACAATGTCTTTAAAAGGTGACTAAAAGAGGTATTAACTAGAAGCACATGTTATGTAATGAAGTCCAGTAATGTCTGGTTTGCAAAGAGCTAAAATACAGACAGAGCTAAAGATTAAACACTATAGCATTGCGTAGAGAAAGAAGGAGGTGAAAGATGATATACTGTTGACTGTAGAATATCATCTGTGCAGAAATAGCAAATGAGTGGCTGAGTTACTTAAAATCCTGCCAGAATGAGAGCAGACCTATTGATGTATAATAGCACCATAATCATTAAATAATTGTGAGAAATAAGTAACAAGCACAATAGTTTTCTTTAGAGTCATTCATTTTCCCAGATAAGAGTGAGCACCTGGTAGGGGTACTTCAAGTGTCCAGACTACATAATGTCTGTGTGGCTTACAGCACTTATAGCCTTTGTATCTCCTGCCAAATATGTGGAGAAAATTCACTGGCTTCTAGCATCCCCACAGTCTGAGTGCTTGAAATGCTGGCCACCACAACTGCTAGAAAGAAGCATCTGATTGCTATCTCCTCTCTAAACAGCCCTTGCATGAAATGGTGATTCTTCTAAAAGACTGTGCCCAGATGTCCCTCCCAACAGAGCACTCTCCCTCTTTGCCCACCTCTCTGAGCAGCTGGAGCAAAACCAGGACAGCGAAAAAGGGGGAAGGCAGCAGGAGGTGCAAGTCAGGCAGGGAGCAGGAGAAGAGTGAGGAGGGGAGAGATGCAGACTGGGAGATATGAAGGAAGCAGAGACAGAAGAGAAGGCTCAGCAAAGGAAGGGGACATTGAGGTCTGTACCTCAAAGACTGCGGCTGCCTTAGAGAGCTCCATCTTCCTCACATTGTAGAGTGTGAGGGTCAGGATGAGAGTTGCTCTGTCATCCTCCCTGTTGGAGTCCAGGCTGCCTTGGCCGTTCAATGATTGCATGCCACACATCTCCTTCTCCTTGTTGGCATCTTCTTTTGGGCCTGACATCCCCACCAAATCAGTCTTCATTGGGAGACAGGGGGGTGAATTGCAACAGCCAGATATTGAGTGGAAACCACCCAAGGGTGTGGGAGCAATGGCCAGGGGAGCTGGTGGGACTGGAGATGCAATGTGTCTGTGTGTGGGGAGCTCAGAGCTGCCAGGAGCAGGGACACAAGCTGGTTGCTGTGTGTTAGGTGTAGGGACATTTATGTTGGCCATGCCAGAACACATCAAGGGAAGCCGCCTGTGTGGGATGTGCGCAAGAGCCCAAGATAGCCCTCCTCCCCCTGGCAACTTCAAAGTGCAGTCCTCCTGCTCTGTTTGAAGGTATCTGCAAGCTGTTCAGCCCTGGATAGGGCTTCCTTTGTGGAGAGACAATCAATTAGCCCGAGCTCCATTTACATCTCCCAGTCTGGACTGACCTGCACAGTGTCTGAGGCTGTCCTTCATCCTCACTCTCTCTGTATTGTCTATATCCCCAGTGGGCTCTTCTCCCAAATTCTAGCCCCATCTAAGTGCTGTCTCCTCTGCATAGACACAATTCTGGGAGTGTCAGAGATACCTCAGCCAGAGTCAGAATCCATTGCCTACTTCTGAGCTTTTCCTACCCACAGGATATGAACCTGCTCTATCCTACCCCTCCAAGAGAGGAGTGCTGCCTCCAGGCTGTGTTCCTCCATTGAAACTTATTTCTGTCATGATTTTTTCTCCAGTGAAATAGGCTCTCAAGACCAGGGTCACATCTTTCTTGTGTGTGGCAGGATAAGTTCCAGGGGGATTTAACTCTGTGCCTGACAGGGCAGGCACATCTTCCCTTTCCTTACACTTGGCATCAAAAAATTATTTCTAGATATGAGCACCCATATCTTCATACTTCAAGTTACAGTGTGCCAGACCCCCTGTGAAGGTCATCCTGGAGGTCCAGAGATAAGACCACCTCTCTGGCCTCCCTTTGCAGATGGAGCCATTTTTTATGTGTCCCTTAGCTTATCCTGCCTCGGCCACACCTCTAAGTGTTATCGTGCTCTTACTTCTTCCCTGGCCAGGGAATATAAACAAAATTTTGTTCTCTAGGGATCACGACAGCACCATGTCTTCCCTTGGGTCAAGACAGAGCACTGGGAAGATCTTGATTTCCTCATCTATTTCCCTCTGACAGACAAACCCAAGGTGAATTTTGCAGCATTGTGCCCAAGAGGGAGGTCTCAGCACCCTGGGGAATGTTGGCTCCTCCAGACCTCAGGCACAGTGGGATTTGCAGGGTGTGGTGAGGGGTGTTCCAGCCATGCCCAGCCATGCCCAGGGGCCATGGGGCAGGCTACTGTTTGCCATGTAGAACCCACCACTGATGCAGAACCCGTCCCTCATGCACACTGCAGCACCCTCCAGGCCTGGCTTCTGTCCCAGGTGACTCCAGGAGGGCAAGGGGGCACCTCAGAGGTGCTTGAATGGCAGCTGCAACTGAGTTAGCTGGGTGTAGAAATGGGCTTTAAGAACAAAAGCTCTTCCCACTCCCCCATTCCACATTCCCCCAGCTGTGGTGGCAAGGCTGGGCACAGGAGAAGAAGGCCAGGTCTGATCACCACAAACAACCTGCCCTTTTTTTTAACCTGGTACGATTGCAGGTATCTTTATCCTGTATGAGCAGAGTGCCACTCATTTGATATAGATGCAGCATTAATATTTTTTGTTTATTTAAGTTAATTTAGATGGTTACACCTGAACATCAAAATGTTATCTCTGACAGCTGTCAGCATGGTTTGAAGAAGCAGGGACGTTTAAAAATAATGCATTCCTGTGGGCTGCTGCTGTCCTTAATCCCTTTTCCAACAATTTCTGCATTCTCTGAGGACTAAAATGTCCCTTTCCAAGGCTGCTGTCAGATCTAGGCATCTTAAGACACCCAGAGGAGTCCACCAGTGCAGACTGGTGTCCTCCATCATAAACATTGACCTGGGCCAAGGTCAACATAAAGGAAAGGGCCTCAAAAAAAGCTTCTTTGATCACCTGAGCTGGAGATGAGGATACCAAGAAATGTGATCATAGTGGGGTAGAAGTGAGGAAGGTTACCGCAAAGATTAACTTGGCGTAGGTTAGTCAGAGTAGCACCCAAAGACTTATGGAGTATGCAAATGTAGAGCAAGCTGGGCTTGGCTGTGCATTTCTAAGTAATGGCACACATCAGGAAAGGTTTTTATCAATCTTATAATCTGTCACTCATCCAGATGAGTGACAGTCAAGAGAGCCTTTTTCTGTTTTGGGGAGCACCTCAGATGGGCATTCCCTCCTACCTGGGTATTTAATTCTGCTTGAATTGGATGCTTACCATACAAGGAGGATTTACACTGATTTCCTACACAGCTGGAACTTTCTTTAACCATGGAAATAAGAAGTCACCCATTAAGGAGCGCTATTTAAAATATGATTTATTTGTAGTATTTAAAGTACTTAGGTACAAGATTATTTGTTCTGCAAGAAAATCTACTTTCCATACATTTCCTCTGCTTTTAAAATGCTGAACATTTAATTTTTTCTCATCTGTCTTGCTGAGCAGCCATGCTATGCTGCTTTGGCTGGAGCTATTGCTCATTTAAACCTGCATTAAGGGACAGAGAATCAGACATGTGGCATCAATATTCTCTAACTATTCCACTTGCACATAAAAGAAAATAATGAATTCTGAGCTCTCAATATCACTATAGAACTACTGCTGCTGTCATTTAAGCCAGAAGCAGAGGAGCTTGGAAAGATCTCTGAGGATTAGTTTGAAAGACTTTACCCTTGGGATGAAATTGCCTCTTTGTAGCATACAGTTACTTCATGGATCCTATTATACTAAGAGATAAAAATACGGGCTACTTTTACACTGAAAATACATGTCAAGTGTGATTGAAAGATCTAGAGAGATATTGTGATGAGAAAAAAAGGAATAAAAAGATACTGAGATAAAAAAGGATACTTCAAAGCACCAAAATGATACCATTTTGCATAAATATATGTCTATTGAAAAGGGTTCCAGCTGGTATCTTTAATATTATTACACACCATATATATAAGGAAAAGAACTGTACCTTCTATCTTCCTAAAGGATGATGCTTACATTGAAGCAGTATTGATTTTAAAACTATAAATACAAAATTAATACTAATAAAGGTATGAGACTCATGGGCTTTCAAATCCCTCTCCATCTTTCAATCTTCTAAGAGAAATGTGACCCCGAGCCATGTTAAGTGTCATGATGCAAAATTACTTGAAGCTGGAAATGTAGTTCAGTTTTGCTTTGCTCCATTCTGCTCCAATGATCCAATGCTGAGTTCCCTCCTTCAACCAGGAGGCACTATACAATATGGACCAGTCCAAAAGGGCAATTAGCTGATTTGAGTGAAATTTATTGGTTAAATACAGAAACAGTTTCCTGAACAGCAAAACTCTTCTCTCTCCATGCTCAGCCACTGAGTTAAGCTGGAGCCACCTATGGTTCCATTTTGTGATTCAGGTGAGATAGACCCCAGGAAATGGGCAGTGGAGATACAAAAAGGTGTTGTTACTTAGGACTTGTCTTGAAAGATAACATGTTTGGGTTTGAATGCAGTTAGACTGGGCATAGCAGACCCAGGCTTTCCATGGCTTTGGTGGGGACTCAAGCCAAGATACAGTGAGTTAGGAGCTGAAAGGCTCCAACCTCTTCAGCTTAATTGTAACAGGCACTTCCTCTCCATTTCCAAGGTGCATTCACCTTCTAGGTTGTGAGACCAGAAAATTAAGATACACCTCTCAGGGAAGGACACACACAAAGAAAATGTAGCCTTCACACATCAGCCATCCACTGTGAGTTGTTGAATATGCCTGTTAAGAGAAATCTCCCCTGCATACCCTGAAAGGTTTAGAGTTCCAGACTCCACGGGAACCTTGGAAAACTGGGAGGCAGGAGGCACTGAGTGAAGAGTGACTGTGAGAGAAGGCAAGGTGGATCATTCTGTTCATCATTGACATCCCATCCCTGGTCCTAGACCTTACAGGAGCAGCAGATTTTGCTCTGCATGGTAAAGATCTCCTTCTGCTAACCTTTGGCACAAAACATGTACAGACTTCCCCCATGTTCCCAGGAATAAGGTAATTTTTATACATTAGTAAGAAAAAAATGGATTAGTGTCTGAAGGCCAAAAGAATTGAGGGTCACCTATAGATGTCTGTTTATCTGCTAATCTCTAATAATTAAGATATATAACATAATTATTGATGCAGTTCACCAGAAGATAATATACTGAGGCTAGATCAAGACTGGCATTTGCACATGATAGCTTCTAGTCACTGGCAAGTTACAGCAAATCTTCATTTGATCTTCTGGAGGGCATTGCAAAGGATCCCAATCTCACCTGCAAAGGAAATAAACAGAGCAGTTAATTCCAGAACTAGCCTATTTCAAACACTTCTGTATGTTTTTTACCCTTTATATCCAATCTCTTAAAGAATAAGGTGAGCACAGAAGTGCTAAACTGGACACGTTTATTAGGGTCTTACTGGAGGTAGGTTTGCAGTGTCATCCCTTTGCCTTCATTACCCACAGAAGGCTGGCTCACAAGATCAGAGGAGCTGGCTCACAGCAGGCTAGCCAATGTGAGGGGGGAAATATGATCAAAGCCATCTTCTCCTTCACTTCCTTACTGAAAACAGCTAGGATCCACCTCAAAGCCATCTGCCATTTCCTAGCATTTCCCCCAAAACTGGGTTTTTCAGATTTAGCAAGTTACAGTGAAGTGGAAATGCTTGTTGAAGCTTGGCTAGAATTGGGAAGTAATTTTTTCATGAGGAAAGAGATGTGTGCTGCCTTATTTTGGATAGGCTCAGAGCATTAAATGCAACCAGATGGAATCTGCCTTGTGGCTCCTATTTCTGACCCAAGTTTTGAGGAATTCAAGGTAACAAGTGTACAATTCCTTACTATTGATCGTGTCAGCTAAGTTCTTCAGCTGCTTTGCATTGTCCAAAACTTCAATCCTCTGTGT